ATATTGCAGCATGTTTACAGCAGAGGATCAGACGTTAGATTTACTCTTTCACACAGTGTGACCCAGTGACAACCGGAGTGCTACATGCTGTCCTTACAAGGTGCAAAGAAAAACAACTTGTCAAAAATGGTTTTACACGGAAGTGAAATAACAAGGAGTGTGTCTTTTTCCTCCAGGTGACAAACTCACAATGATACAAATGTTTTCTATGATATTGAAAAGTTGGACTTTTTCTTAGATAAGGCAAGTTTGATAGTTTGTTTAGTCATACCCAGTTTTCAAAGTAACATCCTGATATTGCTTATTTTAATTCACAGAATCTCATACAGTCACCAGATTGTTGTGTATCTGTCTTCCTCTTCAACAGCGTAGAAAGATAAGCTGTCTTGATTCAAAAGGGAAGCACTGGCTTTTTATAAAATCTAATCTCCAGCCAACCAAGGCTGCCAATAGATAGAGGGGGTGAAGATGATTTTTGATTTAAGCTACATTGAGGAAAATAAGTATTTAAACACCCTGCTATTTTGCAAGTCATGGTGGGTCTGAAATTGTCATCGTACAGTAGGTGCATGTCCACTGTGACAGACACCATTTTTTAACTATTTATTTGTATGATATAGCTGCAAATATGTATTTGAGCAACTGAGAAAATCAATGTTAATGTTTGGTACAGTAGCTTTATTTGCAATTACTGAGGTCAAGCTTTTCCTGTAGTTTTTCACCAGGTTTGCACACACTGCAGGAGGGATTTTGGCCCACTCCTCCACACAGATCTTCTCTAGATCAGTCAGGTTTCTGGGCTGATGCTGAGAAACATGGAGTTTGAGCTCCCTCCAAAGATTCTCTATTGTGTTTAGGTCTGGAGACTGGCTAGGCCACATCAGAACCTTGAAATGCTTCTTACAGAGCCACTCCTTGGTTATCCTGGCTGTGTGCTTCGGGTCATTGTCAACATGTTAGATTTATTTTAGTTGCGATATTTTTCAAGTCTTTTTTTTTAGCTTATATATGTTAAAGATGGGGAAAGAGCAAAAACTGCATTAATGTAAGAGAAAAAATCATTGCACAGATAAATTCTGAAATCTGTGTGAATTACTTTAGAATAAGGCATGCACAAAATACATAGGAGAGATAAATTTTACTTCTCCATACACCATACTGTTCAAATAATGTTTGTTATATGAAGAGCTGTCCAAGTAGTGCTGCTGCTTGCAGAAATTTACTTCACATCATCCTCATTGAATGATTTCTGTATCCTAGGATGGATTGCTTTCATTCTGCCAATCTAATGCAGAAGTGTCACAGTACATCCGTCTTTAGCTCATTCCCACTGTTTGGACACATCACTGTGTCACTCAGGATGCACTTTTGATATTTTAATATTTGATACCCCTGCAGGATCAATAAAGTATTGTTGAGTTGAATTAAGTAACATTTGACTGAATTGAATTTGAGTTTCAGATGTGAATTGACCAAGAAAGAAATTTACTGCCTGTGGAAATTTTATCATTTTTTATGTAGTGAATGTTTAGGTTTGGTGCCTACTCGTGTTTTACTTCCAATAATTATTTTTCTCTTTGTCATGTGTCCCTCATTTTGTTTTGCCATTTTAAAAGTAGGAAAGGTTTCTTCTCTAGGTAATATGCGTGTTCTCATTTTCCTTTTACCTTCTTATTCAAGCTATTCCCTCTGGACAACTGCAACACCGGCTCTTTGTTTATTTACCGCCAGCTCTTTGTTTATTTATATTGTGCAGATTAACAAAAAAATATACCATATAAAACACGCAGAAATAACTGATATAAAGACACATTATTAATTCGAGGAAAAAATATTTACAGATTCAGTCTCAAACTTTCTGGGCTCTTATTCCCTTTCAGATCCTTCTGTTTTCTGTCTTGCAGTCCTCCCGCTGTGCATCCTGCTGCCTCCTACAGTCTCCCTGTTGCCCATGTGTCAATCCCTTGTTTTTGTCTGATTTTTTTACTTTCTTCTCACATACTTACTTAGTTTGAGCTTTTTTCTGAACATGCTGTATTTAGCTTTATTCTTTAAAAAAGAAAAAGAAAAAAACTGCTTTTGGTTTTTGGTCGACTTAATGACTTCCAATCATGACAAAAACAATGTTCCTTAACCTCAACTGTCCTATGCAAGTGATTTGACTGTAGATAAAGACTAATTTAGAGTGTATATATATCGCGAAGGTTTTTTCCCCCACTTAATTTTCAATTTAAGAAAAAATTCACTTATTTTAAGAAAAATAACCTATTTCGATTTAATTCTCACAAACTTCTTAATTTCTTCTGATTGGAAATTCGATGTTTATGAACACAAGCTGCCAAAAGAGAGCCAGTGGAGGCAATAAAAGATTAGAGACATGGCAAGAAGGCCTTCAAAACACTAACTTGAAGCTTATCACTTAAGATAATTAATAAGATGACCAGATGTAAAGCTGGAAAATGATTGCCAGAAATGATAAAAAAAAAATTGTTTATACCGTAATTGGTACCCTGTTTATATGATTGATTATCTTTCCATGGATATCAGTCTCAATTTATGTCAGGAGTAAATATAGGCTGATAAAAATGATAAATCTGCAAGAAATAAAAATAATTTTACGCCAATGTTTGACAGAAAAAAAAGCAAACAAACATGAAATCCACATCAAAGCTTTTATTGCTCAGGAGAGACAATGTCTGAGACAACACAGATATTTACTGTAATAAATTCCTGTGCAAAATCTATTTAGGGGAATAAAAAAAATGGGATTGGTTCCTGAAAAGAAGCACAATGTAATATGTTCCAGAATGTAGAAAACATAAACAAAGATTAAATGTAGATTGAGCTAAATTCAATTTATTTCACTACTTTATAGTGTGCAAAATCTGGCGGACAGTTAATGGGTGTGTAGCTGTGCTTTTATTTGTATTAACACTCATGAAATAAAAAAACAGTGAAATACAGCGATGCTCACTTTCCCTTTGAAAATAAATCCCATGAGAAAACTGTGATATTCATGATATGGAGTTACTATGTAAATTATTTTATTATGGCTTCACATCAAATGAGACTTGCATTGTTACAGTACATTATCTGCAATATGTAAATTCTACAAGCTTGATGTAGAATATATAATAAAAGACAGATGCACCTCAGCTACTTTAAGTTCACTTCAGCTGCTCATGTCTCAATCCTATGTTTCTGTAAAAGTCAATATTAAAGCACAAGTACAATTCTCTAAATTGGAATTTGAGTACCAAAAAGGCTCTCTTATTAGATTAAAAGTTACCACAAGGCCACAAAAAAAAAAAAAAAAAAAGATTTGTAAAACGACGAGCACACACAAAACAAAGCAATTTTCCTTTATAAACCAAAGCTGCATTTCAAGGTTTGCAAACGTGAGGCTTCCCCTCTGTTAAGCCCTACTAGCCCATATTCAACCATACATGGACACTGCATAAATGTCAGTGTGTATTTAAATTAGCTGGCTGATCAGTGTTATTTTATGGTTACCATTGGCAACCGCAGGAATAAGTTCAATAAGCACTTCGTATATAAGTTTTAATATAGAGAAAAAATGGTTGACCACATCATCTTATATTTGGATGTTGCTTGATTCTCCAGATACGTTGGTTATCTTGGATAGTTATTGGCAAACATGGCGTAGCATTTTCTGTCCCTTTTTATGCTCCCCCTCTATCTGATCTGTTTTTTAATGAATAGCGGGGAAGTTTTGCCTTTCTTTTGGGAGGTTGTGGGTTTGATTCCTAATTCCTCTTTAAAGATTTTGATGTGCTCCCTGGCAAAGGCACTTAGGTGTGCTACTAATCTGTGCAATATAATTGTTTGTGCTAATCAGGGAATGGGGCTGCGGCTAAGTCAGCTTTAAATGGCTAGTTTTGCCTTAAAATTTGTTACATAAAACTAGTGGGAAACCCAAGACTTTTAGACTAACCAACTGGGTAAATGTTTTTCATATAAATTTAAATTCCCACTTGCTACTTATATGTTAACTAAGAAAGTATTTTCTTCACCCTTAAAGATTTATTTAAGTGCAACTTTGACAACTTCCCAGATGCTTTTATAACTTGTGCATTCATCAAAATTCATTTTTTTTCAATGCAAGACGTCATGTAAAGAATCCAGCTGTCAGTCTGCTGTCTTCTGTCTCAATACTCTTATTACAGAGTCAGTGCTGAAGGCCTTTTGACATGTTAATTAAGCTTTCTATTTATTTTGCTAACATTAGCAGGCCTGTCATATCCCTACTCCGATCTCCTCATCTGAATTTTCATTACCCCTCCAATGTCCTCTAAGCTTGAGGCGCACTGATTATGTCTCACCCCCTACAGATAGTGCTCACCTCTATATAAATTCTCATATCCCGATGTGCTTCACCTCTTTTCAAGACCAGACTGCCTATTAAAATGTTTTGTTCCTTAGGTATTTAATGCAAAAGAAAAAACTGAGCCTAATGATGCCGCATTGCAGAAGCATTTATTCTGTCAAGGCTTCATCTTTTATGAGTCATAGAATACTGCTGGACAGCATGTACAATAACATCTAGACCCCACGCCACCACTCTCAGAGATGTTTCTTCCCATCCTAAACTTTGCATCAATATGTCCTTGTGCACCAGTTCAGACTAAAGATGGAGGAAATGTCTCCAGATCCAAATGCAGACCATTTGGTTCTGCATCCAAACAGATGATTTATGACTTGTCTCCTATTTGATGCCAAAAGCACAGATGTCTGAGGCAACTATAAGACAGACAGCTATTACCTGTTCTTGGGAAGATTTCCTTTTTTGTATATAATATTGAGATCACATAAGCCCCCCTGAACATACAAATCTCCCAACTCTTACACCACCCAACGCATCTCTCCAGAGTGTATCTCGTGTTTCACCTATAAGTGCAACAGCAGTCTCTCCCTAGCAGGAGCACTGAGCAGATCCACAGGATGAAAGCGTGTGGCTTTCCTGCTCTGAAGGAAGGGGAATTTCTGTGAAATGGATTTAAAGCATCTTTAATCACACAGGGTAAGGCAAATTATTTAAATACTGTTTCCTTTAAGATAAAAGCATTGATTTTATCATAATTTTTGAAACTTTTAGGATCTGCTATGGTTTGTTTCAGATATTTTTTAGCATATTTAATAGCATAATCAGACACAATACATTTTTTCATATTTATATTCTCTTTGAACTCTTTGAATACAGTTATTTAATTTTTTTTAAGTATTTGAACTATAATCCCTTTTTTCAACAAAAATGTGACAAAGATATCATGACTGACGATCTTAAAAATATTAAGGTTTGATCTGGTTTATCCCCATAGATAACTTTTATTCCTGCTTTTAAATTTGATAATCACAAAGGTTTAACCTGAAAATTATAATAAAAAAACTACACAAACCAACCTGACTGTATGTGGAAATGTTTATGTTCCTACATCTGATTATAACTAATAACTGGTTCAGCTTCATGTGTTTATAATAACTGACAAATAGTCTTTGGTTTTGATGTAAGGGAATTTAGCAGCCTTATTGGAGAGGTCAGCTTTTTATTACGACTGTTCAATCAATGTGCACAAGTGCTCCAGGTCCTGAAACATTAAAGCAATAAAATGCTATTTTAATAAAATTATGTTAGTTTTACCCCAGGTGTAAAAAGTCAAAATATTTTTGTAATTTAAGGGATTTTTGTCAAGAAGTTAATTTTGTTTTGGAGGTCTCCAGTGGTTTTCTGCTTTGTCTCTTTCTAAGAGTCGGGACTGGTGACCCTTACTGATCCAAACGAGGCAATCTGATTGGAAGGTTATTGCTATTCCTCGTTTCTTCACAGCATAAAAGCTCTCACTGTGATTCGGGAAATACAAAAAATAAACAGATGTTAGAAACTTTGTTTCTCAGTAATTTATTTCATTTTGAGATGCCCTAATGTAGCCTACCTCATGTGGTCAGACAGGTTCTATTTTAATCAGCTGCAATATGAGTGTAAGGTTACTTTTTCACAGTATTCCATCGGTACAGATTTCACATTTATCAATCAAATCAAAGTCCCATTGCAAAAAATATAAATCTAAGTAGGGCTTTTTTCTTAGAATAAGAAAATTTTTCTTGTATTGAATAGGTAAGTGAGACACATTTCCAATGAAATAAGACAATTTACATTTAAAATAAGAACAAAACAACCACAGTCTCTTATTTCAAGTGCATCATATCTAATTATCTTATTTTAAGGTTAAAAATGCTAATTCAAATCCTGCAGAAATATTTTGTTAATATAACATCATATCAAGTTTCACTCAGGAAATACTTGAATCTTATTAGAAACTTCTCATATGATATCCAACAAGAAATTATAATCAGTTTGGTTATGATCACATTCTTGTACCTTATTTTTGCATTTGAATGAACAAAGAAAATCCAAAATATTGGACATGGAAATTGTTTTGCAATGAATGCCAGCATTTCCAGCAGAGAGAATAAAAAAGCTGAGAGATCAGAAACAGAGCAGAGATTTCATAAGGGCCAGTCTCTACAGGATGCAGGAGTGGGAGGTGAGAAGAAAAGGTGACGACTGGATGTGTGAAGTAATACCTGTTCATTTAGGTCTCCTTGTTCTCTAGGGTAAAATGAAGGAACACAAACTTGTCTTAATCAAGATATATAAATTAATCTAAGGACGCAATAAAGCTGCGGTGAAATTTGCAAGAGGCATTTTTTTATGCTATAAAAAACATGATTCTCCTACTCTGCAGGACTGTTATCTTGCTGTGAATGTCAAGGTGTTCAGTTCCTTTCATGAGGACGTTTTTATTCAACAACTTGCCTTTACATGTCAAGGACTTACAGTATTCCCTCCAATACATGACACAGCTACCTGGTCTGGTTTCCCTTTCTTTATTTTTGACACCCAGGTACCACAATGACTGAGATTCTAGCTTATAATACCACCTTGGAGGAGCTGAACCTCTCCTGGCAAAACCAGTCTTCACCTCAACAGAACGTCACCTATGTGGATTTCTACCTCCACAAACCCGCTGTGGCTGCAGTCTTCACCGTTTCCTACCTGCTCAACTTTGTGGTGTGCATGGTAGGCAATGGTGTGGTGTGTTTCATCGTGCTGCGCAGCAGGAACATGCGAACCGTCACCAATCTGTTTATTCTCAACCTCGCCATCAGTGACCTGCTGGTTGGCATCTTCTGCATGCCAACCACACTTGTGGACAACATCATAACAGGTAGTCAAGGGATTTCCAAGTCAGTATGTATAGTAGAGCCAATGAGATGATTCATACTCCCAAAAGTATAAATGCACATTTAAATGTTTGCATTGGAGGTGGTTAAAGTTAATGAAAATCAAAGATAACCAAATGTAGGGTATCCCGAGAGGGAAATAGATGAAGCAAAGACTTGAGTCTTCAGTGGACATTATTAAAACATGTAGTAAATATAATACTATATACACCCTAACTAACTTAGATCAACTTGTTAGAAAATTTGAATCCCTAGATGTGCAAAGCTGACACTTGACTGCAAGGCTCTACTTTTTACTGGAATTTCACATAAATTCCCTCAAGCTGTGGGGATCTGAATGTTTTTTTCTTAAAGCACTGCCCTTTGTTTTTTATTCTCGTGCTATGAAAGCTTTTTCTGTTGCTGTTTCTGCAGGCTGGCCCTTTGGCAGCGTTGTGTGTAAACTGAGCGGGATGGTTCAAGGGATCTCTGTGTCAGCATCTGTTTTCACCCTCGTTGCCATTGCTGTTGACAGGTGAGGATTTGCATTTCATCCTCCGTTACCAGTCACTTTCATCTCTGTGCCTGGTTCTGAAAAATCTTTTTGAAAATGTGTCTTTTCACCAGGTTTCGCTGCATCGTCTACCCTTTCAAGCAGAAGCTGACCATCCCCACCTCAAAGCTAATTATCGTCATCATTTGGGTCCTCGCCGTGTTCATTATGTGTCCTTCAGGGGTCATGCTCCAGGTCACCAAGGAGCAGACAGTGAGAATAGTCCTTGGTCCCAAAAGTGATACTCGCCCCTTTTACTGGTGTAGAGAGAACTGGCCAAGTCAAGAGATGAGGAAGATCTATACTACAGTCCTCTTTGCCAACATCTACCTTGCCCCTCTTAGTCTGATCGTCATCATGTATGCACGCATTGGTTTCACCCTCTTTAAGACCACTCTTCCTCAAGCTGGAGGCAGTGGGAGTGCCCCATTAGAGGGCAGTGGTAAAAAAGTGAGCATGGACGCGCGTCAGACAATTACACGGAAGAAGAAGAGGGTGATAATGATGCTCCTGGTTGTTGCTTTGCTTTTCATCTTATCCTGGCTGCCTCTATGGACGCTAATGATGCTGAGCGATTACGCCAGCTTAACAGAACACCAGTACCGTGTCATTAACATCTATGTGTACCCTTTTGCTCACTGGTTAGCCTTCTTCAACAGCAGCATCAACCCAATCATCTACGGTTTCTTCAATGAAAACTTCCGTAAAGGCTTTCAGGCAGCTTTTAAGTTCCAGCTGTGCTCCGCTGACATTCTGCGCCAAAGGACCTTCTCCCACCGGATCAGAGGGAACGCTGTGCTCCCAGTCCACCCGAAATCCCACAGCAGACCAGTGTCCAGAGCTGGGTCGCTCTTTGTAGGGAATGGAGGGTGTTCAAGGCGGGAGGACGATTGTTTAGCTAGTAGAAACGCTGTTAGAGAGCAGGATCTGATCATGGAGGATTTGGAGAAAATGTCACAGATTTAGAAAAAAAATGAGCTTTGCCTATCATCTTATAAAACGAGGTATTTGGTGAATGTTTCAAAAATAAATCAAACTTTTTTCATGTCTGCTGTTAATAAATGTGTTTTGAAGTTCTATTTAAAAGATCACTGTTTGTTAATGTGACTTCTTTTTTAAGCTCTACTGGTCATTTTGCCTCGATTGTAAATCTGAACACCTTCATTGTAGTTATGTTTTATTTCGTACCCACCTAGGGGAATGTTTTCTACCTGCTATTAAAACGAATCTATTTTGTTATTCTGTCTGTCTGATAAAAGCCTAATAATACGTAAGGAATTCTAGCCATTAAAAAATTATTTTCTTAGTCCAAAAAAAATAGAATACTTACAGATAATGGTATGTTTCAATATGTTATGTTACGTTTCCATTTAATTTTGGGAGGCCTTCAGCAAACCATGGCATGACGAGCTGTTGACGTAAAAAAAAAAAACAATTATCTTGGTGTACAATTCTACTTTCTTTATTTATTTCCCAGTACTGATGTAAAACCTTTATTTTTGGTTGCCATGGTAATACTGTCAGGAACATCTCTATGTAAGGCTGTCTGTAGTTCACATTTAGACCACGTCTGATGTTCTTCTGAGTTCAGGAAAAGATGTTTTGTTTGTGGCCTCTGCTCAAACATTGACCCTTCTCCATACGACATAGTTACATCAGTTCTGCTGATGCACTTCAACACTAAATTTGTTCATGCTCAATATTGTTTGGTAGCCTGTTGACTAAATCTGTGTCAAATCGTATCCTTAAAGGAGATCCTTTTGTATCTGCTTTGAAAAACAATCTTTTAATTGTCTATAAAACTCAACATTTTATCAAAATAAATATTAGTGAATGCAAAGTGTAACTTCAACTCTTTGTGAAGTAAAATCCAGTGAAATTATAGGTGGAAATTGTATTTTTTATTTTATATTTATCTCTATTTCTCATTTAAAACATGGGGAATAATAATTATACACAGTATTATTACATAGGGGTAACATTTTTTGTTTACAGGTATGAAAATGCTGATGTGTCGGTTGAAACTGAGGATTTAAATTACCTAATAGGTAAAGAAATCTAAAAAAAGTTGCTGTTTATTCAGTTCTGTTCAATGCATGCTAATCCAACAATCATAAGTCCTTGCGGAATGAATAAAAATGAAATTATTTATTTCAGAATGGTCTAATAGGTTTCAGCATGGTCTGGTTCAACATTGGGAACATGTAGAACAGTGTTTAGCACTTCACCTCAGTGCAGCTCCAGACCACAATGAATGGGAGATTTATCAAGGTAAAATCTATTTGTCCTCTGCAACACAACGAATTATATTACCCTTGTAAATAAAGAAATAAAGAAATAAAAAGAAACCTGACTGTTAGAATATCCTGATCCAACCCAGATTTAACAAAAATGCTTTTGTATGTAAAATAAAGAATTCTTTTTGTTTTTCAAAAGAGTGTAAATCCTTGTCACTTTTGTAATTATTAAATAAATGAATAATTGCTCTTTTATATGTTTAAACATATAAAAGAGCAAAGAGTTAACACATGGACATACAACTGTGCTTGAAAGTTTGTATACATATGTATATGTGTGTGTGTGTTTGTGTGTGTGTGTGTGTGTGTGTGTTTATGTATTCTTTATTGGGAACGTATGTAAACTTTCAAGCACAACTGTAACACTATGCATCAGCAAATCCTCTTAATTTTATGTTGCTAAATCACTCTGCATTTAAAATCTCACCACCTGTTGAAACCTTATCTTATGTCACAGTGATATTTAGATTCAAACTGGGAAAAAAATAAATGCAGTGAATGGATAAATGCGGGGGGTTTAGGCAATTTTCTAAATACGTAATAATGTAATAATATTTACAGCAGCAATACTGTGCGCCTAATCTATATTGGTTAGAGGCATTTAATTATAAGATCATAACAAAAAAAAATCTAATAATGAAAAAAAAAATATTTGAAATATTTAATCTAGATAAGTACTGATGAAAGAAATCTGCCTATTAATGTAAACATGGTGATGGAGGTATGATGCCGTGTGGCTTCTCGGAAGTCTGAAATCCTCTGCTCGCTTACATTAATCTATCGAATGGAATACAAATGTCATCAAACAATAGGTTTAACAACAATTTTAGAGGCTATGAGTCAACAACCTAGTACAGTAAGGAGAAAGAAATCACATTTTAGAGAAAAAGGAATGCATACCTTGAAATAAATAAAGAAATCACAAAAATATACTGAAGTTACCCTGAATGTAACTTAATACCTTAGTGGAAGTAAATACCAACAATATAGTTATTTTACACCCCTCTAAATGTCTAATTATTTAAGTATCTTCAGTTCCCTCTATAGTTAGTGGACTGAATTCATATAACATTTTTAAGTCATGCTTAACTTGAGGTGAAACAAGGCAAGGCAGAGACCAGTGATAGGAACCAATACTAGGTCAGGGTCATTCTACACTGTACCATCAGGAAAATGAACGCCCACATCATCTGAAATTTTCCAGATGAATCACTAAAGATAGACCACATTTTTATAAAGGCCTTGCTTCTAAATACACCCACATATTTATTCTTTTCTGCTGTCTAAATTAATCATCATAAACACATTAATGGAATTTAATTTATCATACCTGTAAAATTAGTTGAGCAGTTGTTCTTTAATTACATAGAAGAGACCTAGCTGACATCCAGAGACACTAACTTTCCTATATCTACCATAAAACACAAAAAATAGTCCTAAAAAAAAAGCATGCTATATTTGTCAGCTTTAATCTTAGTATAAAAATGTATAACTACATTTTTGCTGACAGTTTATGATTATGATACTAACAATAAGAAGGTTTAATTAGGAAAAAATTATTGATAATTAGGGAGTAATATGTTGCCACCCCCTGAGGGAAACAGGAAATCCTCTGGTCAGGGCTGGTCACCCATGCTCCGCCCCTGAACTGCAGCTAGGGTGCTGATATTTCCTCCATCAATAGGAGGGGGTAGCACAGAAAAAGCACAGATTATTTTTCCTTCTATTCAGGTCTCATATTTCTAAGTAATCCCTTGTATCTGAATGAATAATTAATATGAACAACGTTAAGAAAACACCAAATTAGATGGGATTAGAATTGGTTTCAATCAGATGGAATCACTTTATCAATTAGAAGTCAGGTCACTTTCATAGATAACATTACATTTGTCATATGTCCTCTGGTTATATCTTTTTGACAAATGATATCCTCGTTTTTAGTTGTTACTGTTTCCCAGAGGTGTACAGGACATCCTGACTGAAAGTTTTCTCGTGTTTTTGCAGGAATGAACATCTAGATCCTTCGGAGTAGTAGCAATAGCAGAAAAAATATATGGGATGAGACACCAGAACAGCATGCTTAACAAGGCTGCTCATATTCCCATCACATTATGATGGGAGTTTGTCAGCTTGGTCTACTTGAAGTACGTGCTGCAGTGCCCTGAGAAAGCTGGCATTGGTTTGACAGATATGAAATCCAACAGCAGGTTGATTTGGAAAGTGTGTACCTGCTTCACAGGCAACTACAAGGTTTGAATGCCTATAACTCTGCTTGTGGACAGATTTATTCATGATCAGCTGTAGGATGTGACTGTGGAGGGCGGATGTAAAGGACCTTCGGTTGTGACAAGGTTAGATAAGTTGATGAAAGGAGAGTGCATGGAGACCTACATTAATAAAAACAAGCTACATTTTCATACAGAACCCGTCAAAGCCTCACAAAGCCGTCATCCTATACTTTAAAAAAAAACATAACTCACCAGGACCCCTGCAAACTGCACATATGAGTGAATTTGAGAAATCTTTGCTTGTCCATTAATCAGATGTTGGAAATTTCATGCATCACAGCATGACTTTAGATTCCCCTTTGACATAAATGGCCATTTATCTTTTTTACACATTTTTCAAAGCTAGAGGGACAAACGTTTCAAGTAGAGTAGATTTAATTTAATCTTATTAAGTTAATAATTGGTTTATGATTTCATAAAAAAAATATTTTACTCTAATGTCTCTCTTTCTTCCCCTGCAAACCAAATAAAAAAAGGTCATTCTTGACTTTATTTCATACCTGTCCTGTATTAATGGTTTCTGCATATGAGCACATGCAGAGCTGAGAAAATTTGAACAATTGAATCATTTTTCATTTGCTATTATTTATCAGCTACAATACTTATAACAACACAAGTTATCAAATGTTGTTTAAAATAATACTGATATGTATATGATATTAATTAAAATATTTAAGTTTGAATAGATAAGATGTTTTTTAAGCAACTTTATAAATTTTAGAACCAGTTATCTTTTGTCACTTTTGATCCAATGAAGAGAATTCTCATATTTTTTTTATTGCAAATTTGTCTGAATAATCTAAATGACAAGTTACCACCCAACATTCGTTGAACAGCTTTTCATAGAAAAACTGCAGATAATTGGTTTTAAATGAGCATTGATGCAAAAAGGCTTGTCGGTCTAAAAAGGAAAAGTGTTGTATTGATGGAGCATGCAAAACGCGACATATGAATGATTTAAATTAGTTGTTTCCATCTGTTAGAAGTTCTACATTATGCAGTTCTTGTTGTGTTTTCCTTAACAGTCCCTTTCAAGAAAGGTTTGTTATTACATATAAGGAAAAGTCAAGAGGCCAGTTTATCATTATTTTTGGATTCTACCAGAACTAGAGAAAAGAGATATTTGAACAATTTTGAAGATTTTTATTTTATTTATTTTTTTGACATGATTAGTTAATTGATTACAAATATTTTACGAATTGATTATAGTTTGTTCAGATTTGTCACTTTATGCAGAAAAAAACAAAACAAAGTTGCTCCTGGGTGACTGACGTTCAAGTTGGCAATCAATCCACTGTATTTGCTGTCAGTCTGGATGGACCTGCTTTGGGTAATTGTATATTGTTGGGTAAATCTGCTCTATATAGCTTTATCAGTTTGGGACCTGCAGAGTTAAGGCACTCTGGATTATTCCCAGTGTTCCCCAGGCAGTTCCAAACAAGTTGTGATGGTAGGGTGGATGGCAATGAATTCTGTTTTTCAGAAAGGACAGAACATTTTAGTCTGAGTTTTTTGTGTGTTAGTGTTTCCCTATTATACTTGGATGTGTCTGAGTTTACTGTGATGACAAAGAAAAAGCCCAAACAGTGAAAAGTTTGTCTATCCATCTTCA